GTGCTGCGTCATTCCCATGATACTTTAACAGGAGGATATCTCGGAATTAAGAAGACATTGAGTCACCTACGACAAACATTTTACTGGATAGGTATGAGGCAAGATGTGGAAGAATGGTGCAGGACATGCAGTACATGTAGTGTTAAAAGGGGACCGAAGCATAAGGGACGCCGACCTTATGAAGAGTTTCCTGTGAATGTGTCAGAGTTTTTGAAAATGTTATTGGAAAGGATGGATCATGTTCACCATCAAGTGCATTCAAACTTGAAAACGTCTGCTTATTATATGAAGCTATGTTATGATAAGAGATCTACTGAAGTCAGCTTTGAGCCAAGAGACAAGATGTGGTTGTATAATCCGAGGAAGATCAAAGGGAAGTCTCCTAAGTTGTCTTCTCCATTGGAAGGCCCATATGACATAGTGGATCGTCTCTGAGACGTGACTTTCAGGATAAAATATGGTTGGCGAGGTAAGCCAAAAGTGGTGCATGCCAACAGGCTTTGGCGTTATCACGGTCCAGGACATTTCAGTTCGGACGAAGTGAACAACAGAACAAATGACGCTGCTGAAGACGTGTCACCTGAAAAAGCCTCCTTTGAAGAAGAAACTCTACTCAGTTTTGAGAAGAGAAACGGTGAAGCTTTTGATGACGTTACTACCACTGATGTGACTGTTATCGACGGTAGGAGATTTCCTGATGAAGCAGATGAACCCCAAATGAAGCAGAAGCGAACGAGATGGAGACCAGTACGGAAGAAGATACGTCCCGTAAAATTAAGAGACTTTGTTGAATTGTAATTTTGTGTTTGTAATTCTGTACATTTAATTAAGTTATTGTTAATTGTTTAATGTAAGTGGCTATTGTTCGGGACGAACAATACTAAAGAGGGGCAGTGTTGCGTCAGCGAAGTCACGTGACTAATATCACGCCACGTCCTTCTCGAACCTTCGTGAATTGTCGGGACACTACTAGATTGGGGATAGTCTTGTATATGTAAGACGATCACAAAGTGATGTCAACAATGTGTAATTGAACTAAATATTGTTGAGTCGACCACGTGCGGCGTGTGTTGATAATCAAAGCGTTTGTTATAGCGCGACTGTTGAAATTAAGTTTATCGCCAAGGTATATTGAGAAAGAATAAACCATTTTTTTTTTAGAAAGGACTTGTGTCGCTAAAGTTTCGTCGGAACGAATTTACGGAAAATTAACTAACGAACGGAGACGTAACAAAATGTTATATGTAATGTAGTAATTGACATAATACACGGTTAACAATAGAATTTTATATGTGATGTAGTAATTGATATAATACATGGACATACATTATAATTTTATGTGTGTTGTAGTAATAGATATAATGAATGGACACACATTAAAATGTTATATGTGTTGTTGTAATTGATATAATACATCGACATAAATTAGAATATTATATGGGTTCTAGAAATGGATATAATACATGGATACTCAAGAATGCTTTATGAGCTCCAGTAATTGATATAATACATGGACATCCATTAGAATGTTATATGTGATGTAGTAATTGATATAATACAACGACATACATTAGAATGATACATATGTTGTAGTAATTGATATAATACATGGACTTACATTAGAATGTTATATAACCTATAGTAATTGATATAATACATGGACATACAATAGAATCGTATATGTGATGTAGTAATTGATATAATACATGAACACATTAGAATGTTATATGTGTTCTAGTAATTGACTCATTGCATTTCATATATTAGAATGTTATATGTGATGTAGTAATTGACATAATACATGGACACCCATTAGAATGTTATATAACCTATAGTAATTGATATAATACATGGATATACATTACAATCTTATATATATTGTAGTAATTGATATAATACATGGACATACATTACAATGTTATTTGTCATGTAGTAATTGATATAATTCAAGGATAATATGAATTCTTGTAATTGATATAATACACCCACACCCATTAGAATGTTATATGTGTTATAGTGATTGATATAATACATGCATATAAATTAGAATGTTATATGTGATGTAGTAAATGGTATATCACATGAACATACATTATAATGTTATGTGTTTTCTAGTAATTTATATAATACATCGATACACATAAGAGTGTTATAAGTGTTCTAGTAATTGATATAATACATGCACACACATTATAATGTTATATGTGTTACAGTAATTGATACAACACATGGACACATATTATAATGTATTATGTGATGTAGTAATTGATATAATACATGGACACTCATTGTAATATTATATGTGTTCTAGTAATTGGTATAATACATGCATACAAATTATATAGTGATATAGTAATTTATATAGTACATGGACATACAATACAATGTTATATGTGTCCTAGTAATAAATATAATACATGGTTTCAGAAAAGAATTTTTAATGTGGTCTTGTAATTGATATAATACATGTACACACATAATAATGTTAGAGTAATTGATACAATACATGGACATATATTATAATGTTTTATTTGATGTAGTAATTGATATAGTACATGGACACACATTATAACGTTATATGTATTGTAGTAATTGATATAATACATGGATATTCATTACAATGTTGTATGTGTTGTAGTAATTGATATAATACACCGACATACATTACAATGTTATATGTGATGGAGTAACTGATATGATACATGGACATACATTACAATGTTATATATGTTGTAGTAATTGATATAATACACGAACTCACATTATAATGTTATATGAGTTCTAGTAATTGATATAATACATGGACATACATTATAATGTTATATATGTTCTAGTAATTGATATATTACATGGACACAAAACAGAACGTTATATGTGTTCTAGTAATTGATATAATACAAAGACATACATTATAATGTTATATATGATCTAGTAATTGATATATTACATGTTAAACACAAGAGAATGTTATATGTGTCCTAGTAATTGATATAATACACGGACGTACATTATAATGTTATATGTGTTATAGTAATTGATACAATACACTGACATATATTACAATGTTATAATTTATGTAGTAATTGATATAATACATTGACACACATTATAATGTTATATGTGTTGTAGTAATTGATATAATACATGGATAGTCATTGCAATGTTTTATGTGTTGTAGTGATTGATATGATACATTAAAACACAGTAGAATATTATATGCGTTATAGTAATTGAACACACGTTATAATGTTATATGTGATGTTGTAATTTATATAATACATGGACATACATTATAATGTTATATGTGTTGTAGTAATTGATATAATACACTGATATATATTATAAAGTTATATGTGATGTAGTAATTTATATAGTACATGAACATACATTAGAATGTTACATGACTTCTTGTAAATGATATAATACATGCACACACATTTAAATGTTATACGTGTACTAGTAATTGATATAATACATGGACATACATAATAATGTTATATGTGATGTAGTAATTGATATAATACTTGGACATACATTACAATGTTATAGGTGTTGCAGTAATTGATATAATACACGGATTCACATTATAATGTTATATGTGTTGTAGTAACTGATATAATACATGGATGTATACATTGAATTCTTGTATGTGTTATAGTAAATGATACAATACATGGATATATATTATAATGTTATATGTGATGTAGTAATTGATATAATACATGGACATACATTATTTATATTAAAGTTTTCTTCATTACCCATTCAAGCCGTCTCCAGCCATTATTAGTCTCAAAGTGGGTTCCTCGTCATCGAATTTGAATTCATCACGGTGATTAATGGAGGTTGTTCAAGTCTAAACGTTTATCTTTGTTATTCCATGTATAACCTTTTAAGTACGTTCTCTCACCAATCCACTACCATAAACCAATCATACCGTGAAACTATCTTCAAATTAAGTAACCTGAATATAAAAATCATCGAAAAGAGAAACGATATTTCCTTCCTAAGACAGTGCCGCTCTTAAAAGCTAATTCCTAAATTTGTGAAGGTCAAGTTATCGAAAAACTTAAACCAGTTTTCAAGTATTATCCAAAACATGCAGAAAAAACTCCTAAAAGCAACCCTGAATTCCAAATATCAAGAACTGGACTATTTACAAAAACTCAAACAGAAATTAGACCACCGACTAGCCTGCTACTTCAAACCAGATGATTACGGCAATATACAACGCGCTATCAACCAAAACAACTCATTGCTGAATCAAGAAAAGAAGTCTACACACAATAAGAAACTAGATCAACTAAGGAAACTACAACAACGTGAAATAAAACACAACAATACAGCTCAGCCTAACCTTGTAGATCGGACTGGATACTCAACGACACAGAACCTCAACTTTTAAAGAAAGGCCTCAACTTTGCCGTCAACCACAAAACAACTCCATGCCTAGAGTTCAAGGCGTGTCTAGAAGACCTAGCCAGAAGACTCGTGACCAGCTACATAAAAGAACAAAAGACCACCTCTACCTCAAACATCTTTCAACTACAGAAAGAAGAAATCCATGACATCAACCAACAGACTTTTATCACAGGTAACTACAACAAAATGTGGTTTCCCGAAGTTCCCAAAAACTGTATTTTAAATAACTTTTTCAAAGAATTCTCAAACAAGACCGTTAATATAGTCAACCAATCCCGTAAACTGAAAAGTAACCTCACAAGTAAAGAAATAAAATCCATTTCTAATCTTAAACAGGACACTAACATTAAAATTCTAAAAGCTGATAAAGGCAACACCACTGTCATCATGAACAATTCAGAATACATCGACAAAATGAACGACATCCTTTCCGATAAAAATAAATTCAAAGTCATCCCAAACAACCCAACAAACACACACGAAAAACAATTAAACAAAACTTTATTACAAATGAAAAAATATAATTTAATTACTGACGATCTTTATTTTTATCTACGTAAAACTGATTCACGCATACCACAACTCTACCGGACAGTATAGGTCGTAGGGGGCAGTCCTGTTTGTGTGGTTTAGGAATGCCACTTATGATTCATTCAACTACAATCTCGGCAAATACATAGCCTGGGCTCTCACATAGGGTACCTGATGATGACAAAACCTTGTCGAAACGTTGTACATTTGCTGTTATGTTAAACTTATATTAAAGTTTTTCTTCATTACCCATTCACGCCATCTTCAGCCATTATTACTCTCAAAGTGGGTTCCTCGTCATCGAATAGGTAAAAAGTTATTATTAGGGTCTTATGCTAGAACACAAATGTTACCTGCAATTTTTGAAGGAAATTAATTTCTAAAATAGAACAATTTATTTAACTAAGACTTCAAAATTGTTAATATTGCTTGATTTTTACAATACCTTAAATACTGCACTGCAAGAAATTGGTGCTAAAATCAGTTTCTCACCTTACGGGGCATCGCTGTGTTGTCATCAACTTCAACTTCACCAGGTCGAATATCATCCCCATCACCATCACTTTTACGTCTACTATAGCGACTATCAGATGACAAAGGAAATGCTTTAAGAAAAGGGGATTTTTCATTTATTGGTTCCTCCATACTCTTACTTTTTCTAATCTCCTTCATTTCAAATTCTTCTGGACAATTGTTCATGTTTCTAAGGTCTTCCTCCCTAAAGTCTGAAGGATTGACACGGGTAACAAGATCTGACACTTTTTCTATTTTGTCTTGGTTGTCAACTAATAAAGAATGATCACAGGTTTTATTTCTGACGGTCAAATGGGAACTATCAAGATGATTGGACAAACCATCAAGTACGAGACTAGAAAGATCACTTTGATTGGAAGGAATATGCACAGACCTTTTATTTGTGACTGCAGAACTGTCTGTTTTTCTTAATGAATAGCTCTTATCAGCCATAGTGTCTACACTAGATGATATATGTTTTAATGATAAATCACTTGTCCTAGTAATATGAAGACTGTTGTCTTTAAGAAATCTAACTTCTGAAGGAGAGTCTGAGAGAGACTTGGCACGTTCTGCTCTAAGACCTTTACCTCCCTTCCCCTTCCCTGATGACCTCATCATATCAAATGGATCAGACCTGGCAGCAGTTAAATCTAGTGAAGACTGAGATTTACGTTGTTTTGATGCTGCTGTAACAATACCTTTCACATTACAGTCTTCTCTGTTTCGTCCCGACAAACCAGATCTTTTTCGACCAACAATATCACCCACTCTGGTAACAGTACCCCAGACACTAGAGTTACATGAAAGGAACTCATTCATACAAACATCCCTACTTTTAGAAGCTGTCCCATTAAGTCCACTTCGTGGCTGTCGGTTCCGAGTCCCACCTGACACATCTGGTTTAAGAGAAGAATGCTGGTTAACATCTTTACATAGTTCTGCGTGTTCTTCTTTTAACTTTTGAAGTAAGTAGCTGTCCTCACTACTGGGTCTATTAAAAGTTACTGCTTCTTCTAACAGCTTTTGCAACTCATCCTCTGGTAATTCAGCTAAAGCAGCATCTGTTTCTTTATTTGATTTCTGAAAAAATAATGTATGATTATAGAAACATTTTAGGCTTTTATACCTATTTAGCCTGAAGTTCATATACATGTAAAAAATAAGTTTTTATTTTAAGGAACAGCTCTTTTGAATCAAGTTCTCTAAATGGTTTTACTTCTTAAAGGTTTATAACTTAACTTATATTCACTAATACGTTTTGCTAATATTAAAAACATTATTAATTCAAATTGTATTTAAAGATTTGCATATAAATATAATTAATTATTCTGTACAGAAACAATGTTCAAAATATTTTCACATAAAACAACAAAATGTTCCACTTTAATAACCACTGTTCTCAATCAACGAATAATTTTTCAGGCAAATTTCAAAATGCAGTGTTCACAAAATGTACAATTTCAGGCCTGTCACTAAAAGAATTACTAGATAAAGCCCTGGAATAATACTGTTTTGTGTAAAGTTTTTTTCTTTTAAAATATATAAACTTTGTACAGTACTTGCTCAGTGAGTCATGAATTACGAATAGGTGGGCTTTTATTTACAGATTTGTGTTCAATGATGGTTATGGAAAATGAATAAAGATCGTACATTTGATCTTGCAAGAAGTATGAGTATCTTCTTTATGTCACTTATTTTATCACCCTAGTTCCTTTATACTTACCAGCATGATTTTTGTTTCTGCTGAAATCAAACTCGAAGTGGCTCTTTCAAATAAACTTACTAAGGATCAAAGTTAATGCAACATGTAATATGCACTCTGCTTACACAGTTGATCATGTACAGTTTCCAGAGAAACGAAAGTAGTTCACATTCCCTTATTTTGAAATAAAATTCAGTTACCATTAAGAAATGGTTGTAACTGTGTGTGTATATTGGTCATAAAATAACATCTTTCAGAATGCTAATGCATAAACTTTTCAAACTTAGAAACTTTAATATATACTGTTGAAAGTAATAATTAAACAAAATGCTTCTCATCAAATTTTTCTATTCATCACAAATCATCAATTACTCTTATAGTAAAACCATGACAATTATTTAACTAGTTTTGTGATCAAGTTTCTTACTCATGTAATGCTTTAAAAATTATTCAATAGACACTTTTATTCTTATACAAGTTTCTGTATAATTGAGTTTTACACATTTTAATTGATTGAAAGAAAATTGGGAGGGTTTATGATACACTGTAGGAAAACTTATGATTATCTAACACTTCAAAATAAATGTGAATATATAATTGTACTTACAATATTCAGAAAATGGTTTGTCAAAACACAAATTCAATCAATTACAATAAACACTGTAGAAAAATTATATCTATTCTGGTTATGTAACTGGTAATGAAATTGAAAATATGTATTCATAGAACACAAGTCAAACTGTGATCTAATGATACATAATTATTCACAACCCACTGACAACAATGATGGGAGTGCCCATTTTCCAGTCTAATGTTTTTTAACATAACATTGATTTTTTTAAGGGAGGGGAATAATAGCTTAGAAAAATTAACCCTATCATTATTAATGAGACCTTTCATGTTTCAATTGCATGCCTCAATAACAATTTTCAAAATTTAAGAAAATAACAATAATCTTAACTCTATTTTAGCACTTTTTAACTTAGATCTTATATTTTGTCATTTTGCATAATATTTACTCAATGTAATTTGTAAAGAAAAATGGAAAAAATGTTCCTACTTACATTTCTCTATAGCTTCAAGGAATTTTGCCTATGAACAACACAATTACCAATTTCTTTAGAATATTTCTGTCCATCCCAAATCATTTGTTTGTATTTGCTTAGAAAATATCATCCCCTTGAGATTATAGCTATCCAAGTTTTGTTTCTCACATGATTTTCCTTCTCTTTAACTGATTTTATTAGTACAGCCTCCTGTCTCACCCTTTATGATCTAACAGTACGTGCTATGAACAACTATTAATGAAGCTCGGCTATTAAAATAACTACAGATAAAATGGCACGAGAAGTAATTTATGGTTTTGTTGGAAACTATTACCCAGAGCTACTACAAGGAATAACAATGGAATTTAATGAGAAACTTAGAAGACTTAAGAACAAACCACACACTTAGGATTTTTTTTTATAATTTCTTTAGATGTTATTTTTCTTTACTGAAACTGTTTTTATATTAGGTTTGTTTAAAAGCTACAGAAGTTTTCTGCTATGACAAGACATCAGTTAAGCTTAATAAGGTTTAGCGAGTATGGTAGACAATGACAAAATATTCTGATGACTCAAATCCTTATTTATTGAATATGAAACAATGCATATAGATAAAAGGTCGCTAATAATTACTGGTCAGTTCATGCAGTATTTTCCATGATTTACAGCCAGATTTACATTTATTCAAAAGGAAATATCTCTGAAAGTTTTTCAAAAAAAAAGTGCCTCATAACAAAATTGAAAACTTGAAAATATAAGAAATGATAGTAAAAGCTAAATTTTCATGGGCTGAAAATAGCAGTAAGCATGTGCAGGTCAAGGACCTTCCAAATAACAGTTTATCAGGTCTGAAGACAAAATGTAGTATCCATATGAAACAAACAGATAACAGTTTTGAAAAATAATATGCAATCATAAATGCAACATAATCAACTTTTAATTTTCTTCCCAAACTTTCAAACATTAGTATTTATTAATATCGGGTTTAGTATTTCTATAAAATTTTTCATATTTTTTGTCCTTGGCTGATCTACAGCCACTCTCATTTCTTCTTTCATTTGGCCATTTGACACCAATAGCTACAACATCAGATTTACTTTTAGGCACAAACCATACTTATATCTTGGCCACAATTGTTCGCAATCATTCTTCTGGAACTACATGTAAATGACTTACTGAAAATAAAGTTTATTTCAAAAGCTTTCATGCATTTAGAAAATGTCAAGGTTTTTACTTCATCAGCCTTGAATAAAAAGGTGGTTAAAAATATATAGAAAAAAATGCAATTGCAATGTTGTTGTCTAAATATTGAGGCTTGCTTTTTAAAATTTTTTATCATGAACTGATGAAGGAATAAATAGTGAATGGAATTTACAAAACAGACTGAATTATAGGGTAATGGAGATGGCAAACATAATCTACTGATTATAACAAATGGGTGTAATTATCATTAGATTTCAAAGGTCTGGTGGATTGATCTGATAACAAGATCAGTTTGTCAGGGACCTCAGATTTGAACTATTTTCCAAATTATGTGCAATTGGCAAAGTATCAAAAGAAATGTGTTAATAAAAAATCAATCAAGTTGAAATTGACTGGATATAAAAAGTAGAACTTTCTGAACAACATTTAAAAATTTTTAATTTACATTTGTTCAAAAGGAAATATCTCTGAAAGTTTTTTAAAAAAAAAGTGCCTCATAACAAAATTGAAAACTTGAAAATATAAGAAATGATAGTAAAAACTAAATTACATAACAAGAATTTTTATAGCCAGACATAAATACTATTTCAAACCTTCAAAGGTATTATTCCAGTTCTCTCTCTCTGCTCAGCATTACTAAGTCTGACATGTGAAATAACGAGTTTTCAGATTACTCTATCTCATCTCACCTGTTCAACCTTAACAGCTCAAGTTGAGAAAACTAAGTTGTTTTCACAGTGAATTTTCTTAAAAGTGCATGGAGTTGTACAAACAACTTTGTTTTAAACCACTTCTATATTAACTGCTTTGTTTAATCTTTAACACGTAAAACAATACATATTGATATTTACATATTTTAAAATTTATGAAGCCTTGATATAAATAAATGAAAAAGTATGGGCTTTCATATTCAATATGATTATTGTACTATTTTTAGTACTTTTAATACATTTACAATGTTGCTGTATACTAGATGTTATCTTCATTATTAGGTTGTACATATCACAGCATTTCAGTACTCTAGTAAATAACAATCAATTATTTCATCATACACAAGTATTTCTACAAAAAAATATACTTATTTTTCATAACTTAAGCTTCAGTAATGTATGATATATTATTCTATAAATTTCAATTAATCAAAATGCATATATTATCTTTACTTACAAGTTACATAACACTAGACTATATTACATTTCATCATTAAACCTTAGACTTGCAAACTACAAAACACAAAATGATTATACATGTTATCTTAGTTAGTCAATACATCTTGTTGTGGTTATTTTACACAATTTTTACTTTTTGATAATACATAATTTACTACTCACTCTTCAATAATGTTCTTTACAGATTTTTACATGTTATGAAAATTTGATAAAATTTGTCAACTTTTCATATATCTTCTATCAGGCCACTATCATTTCCAATTATGCTATATCTAACATGTTAAAACTGAACTTCTCTTTAATAAGCATCTAAATAATAATAATACTTCACAGTAAATTAATATATAACCAAAAAAATTTGATAATGATATGATTATGTGACCTAGAAAGACCTAATACTGAGTAATAGTAACCATAATGCCAAGCAATGGCAAATACATATTTGAAGTTATTTTTTATAAATCAACTATTCTAGAATTTAATAAATTTTTTGTTTTTTCTTATTAAGCACAAAGCCACACAATAGGCCATCTGTACTGTACCATCTACAGGTACTGAAATCCAATTTATAGCATTATAAATCCTAAATTACTGTTAGTGTTACGCCACAAGGAGGCCAGTCAATAAAGTATATAAAGCTAATGTTAATAAATCAAATTTGCCAACAGTAATGAATTCCTTACGTGATAATAAACTAATTACTGTTAATAACACAAACACTACAAAAATGAGAGCAGCATAACCCTTTTTCACTCAACTCATTTGAATATTTTTAGCATTTTATAGTATACTACAATTAACTGTTTCTTTCAATAACTAACAACTTACAATCACAGTCGAATTTACATTTTAACTAGATTACTCACGTACTGGTACTAGATAGATTACCTAGTTACACTTTACTAGCAGTATTACTTTTAGTAACACTAATAATAATGCAGAAGTATTAAACTAATAATTGAGACAATAACTTTGAATAAGATAAGAGTTGTTTTTCGCATGATAATGAGTACGCTGAGACTATTCCGTGAAAGGAAAATAAATAATAAATCGTGAAATAAAACATACAAAATGCCACAACATTTATAGTTCAGGAATATTATTACACCTGAATTAGGACATTCAGGCCTATGATTACGAATATGAGCCAACAGAAATATATAGTATCTCTTAAGTTTTAGTTTTACGGTTACCCTACCTAGGCCTATTTCTTCTAACCTTAGAATTATACATAGACACACCTTATCATGATCTTGATTTTTAGACATCAAACATGTGGGACTGACATTTGCTACAGGACCCTTTATAAGTGAAAGAAAATTAAACTGTGACTGAGAAGTACAATTTTCGTCTGAAACTTTCTCCTCTGCATCTTGATCACAACATGCTGCCATCTTGAAAACGCGTGACTAACGTGAATTTTGATTGGTTAGGGTAGTTGCGCAAAGTAAAAAGATATCCACAATCCACATTGATTACTTACTATTACTATTAGAGGAACTATGATCATGTACTTGTACCAAAGGGAAAGAGCCGAATAATAAAAAATATATAAAAAAACGGAAATTATCGCAGTATGATTACTAATAATAGATGTGCACCTAATCACTTGCATAGAAGGTAGAAGTGTATCACGTTTTCTGTTCTATGAAATTTTTAAGTTTTTTTTTTTCTTCAATTACCATTCTCTTTCAGCATACAAAATTTTAATATACATCATATTTATTTGTTTTTTTTCATATTTTTTATCCTAAACAAACATTTTTCGGTTTATTTATAATGAAATGAATGGTTTGAGAGTTGAGACACATAGATGCAGAATGTGAATGCATGTGTCGTCCTTTTGGATTCCAAGTACGTATATTTTTTCATGTTTGACACTATGTTGCAATAAAAGGTTATTTTTCAAGTTAATGCTCGACAGCTGTGTCACATACAACGTCAAAAGTTGAGCAGTGAGTTGTATGATTCACGAGATTACTAGATCTCCTGTAACACTGATGAGCAATTACGAAGTTGTGAAAACACTTCCTAACCTTTTAATACAGAATTTTAAGTTGTTTTTTTTTAAATAAATAAAGATACCATCTACGTTAAAATAGCAATTATACTTAAAAGGTGAAAATGTTTTAAAATGTTGATGACTGAAGCAGTGACGTAACTACAAAAGATGCCCCCTCCCACTCGTCATCATCGTCGGAACTTAGGTCTTGAAGATCTGGGAGAGTCAGGTACTAAATACACGTCTTCCTCCCTTCTAAACTGTTATTGTTTGATGAAAACTATTTGTGGTTTTTGGTAAGCTGTGTTGGATTTCTAATAGTTATTGTTGTTACGTTCCTTCTCATGGCCATGTCCGTTTATGTTGTATGATTATAATATATGTGTTGTGCAGTTGTGTTGTGGAATAACGAGTAATTGTATGATCTGTGGGAGTAGGCGTGTGACGTGTTCGTTAGCGATTTTAATTATTAATATGATGCTATCTTCTTGGTTTTGGGGTTTCAGTATTTCGTTAAAAAATCATAGAAACTGTTTTTAGCTGCTTCTGTTAATTCACTTATGGTTTCATTTTGTTGTGTTACAGCATTTATGTGTTATATGTTCTTCTTCTGTTTGTGTGTACCGTGAGTGTACGTGCTACCTGTGCATATGTATGTGTTGTAGATTGTTGATTTGTGTTGATGGTCTCTTTAGGTTTTGGTGTTGGCAACAAAGGTGTTCTTCTTTGTGTTCTGTTTGCTTCCTGGTTCTGTATGTGTGTGTCTTGAGTGTTCGTGTTATTTACTATGTTTGTTATGTGTGTTTCGGTGTTCTTGTATTTTTGGCATCCTTTGTAGTTTGCCGTGTGTTGCTGTTGGCAGTTACAGCAATGTGGCTGTGTGTTTACTCTTGAACAGTCTACGTTTCTGTGTTCTCCCCCGTGGGAGAGCTTTGCATGCGGTTGCCACATGTCCGTAATGTTGGCAGTTGTAACACCATTTGATATCACGCTTTGGATATCTTGTGATTCTAGTACTGTACTTTAATTAAATTGGTGAGTTTCTGTGTTCAGTTTGAAAATATTCGTTGGTATGTTGTATATGTTTATGTGTGAGTTCAGTTTCATTGTCTTCGTTCGTGATAACAAAACTAAACTAACTGGCAGGTATTTCGATTAAGTTAATCATTAAAATAAATAATTAATTATCGGGGTGTTCGAAGATTAATCAGTCCTCCTTCGCCTCGCTTGAGGATTAGGAAATGATATTGTTACGTCTCCGTTTATTAATTGATTTTCCGTAACTTCGTTCCGACGAAACTTAAGCGACACAAGTCCTTTCTTAATAAAACTGGTTTATTCTTTCCGAATATAACTTTACCGATACACTCAACTTCAACAATCGCGTTAAACAAACGCTATAACAACGAACGTGCTCAATAATACTTCTGTCTGCAGATCAATTACTCACTGTCTACACACACATTCCTCTCTCGTCACGTTGTCACCCTCTTTTATATACCAGACTACCCTATATCTAGTAAATACTAGAGCATTCGCCGGCATATTTTTAGATCCCTGCCGCCCTGAAGGAACTTAAGTCCTAAATTGGCCATTTATTTTATTGAATTGACCAATGTCTCTGCTTCGCACTCAGACCCATTTTTATTATTCACCTAATCACTTAAGCCCTTTCTACTCATACCAAGTTCATATTGTTGCGTCATCGAGGTCACGTGACTGGTGTGGTGCCACCTATTTTCTAGAACTATCCTGTACCTTCTCGTTAACCGGACACAGGTAATGGATTGACGCCTTATCAGTGAAAGTGGGTTTTCTGGGGTATTCTTAAGAAATAAGAGGAGGCAGAGTGATAGGCAAGACTGTGAGGTAACGTGGAATCTTTCGTCATTCTTCGGATGTTAAATAGAAATTCGCTCCTGTTCAGAAGGGGTCTGGTCAGGGTCATATCTTTTGGGTCACAGATAGATGGGCAGAAAATGAGCTTCTGTTTGTGTGCACTGGTCTGAGGTTGAGACTAACTTGGAGGTTTGAGTTTTCTGGCTAGTTGAAGAGGAGAGATGAAATGAAGATGGTATGCATGGCTGGTTACTGGTTGTGAAAGCCGGAAGTGACTGGCTGAGACGAGGGAGGGGTCGTTTGAGATGTGGTGTTTCCGCTGTGAAGTGGTACGAAACTCCATTGTTGAGGATGATTTCAGCAATGTTTTTAACGTCGTTACGATTTTGACGAACTGCGTTGGTAAACCTGCGCCGATTTTATGTGGCTTTGTATTTTGTTTCGATTGTGTTACGGATTTCTTCAGTGGTGATTGAAGGGTAAACGTCCCTAAGGAATACCGAAAATAGATTATTGGAGCTTCCAGGGGTGGTGCATGTAACTGGTAGGACAAAATTCCATGGACCTCATAGATAGTTAAAATCGGATACGGTTAAGGGCTAGAGGAAGATGCTGCCTGTGCATAGAATCCTGGTTTTGGTTGCATCGAAGGATGCCCCTGTGTTTAAATTCTTCGATGAAAGCTATGATTTGGCTCGGGGAGAAGTCTATAGGTAGGCCATTGAGGATTGTGATACTGGTAGGTGAATATTTTATGACAAAAGATTTTGGGTTGGGTTTAGTTTCTGGAATGTGTATTATTATAGTTCCTGATGTAAAAGTGCCTTGGGGCCATTCTTTTAAGAGTCAGTTGAGGTCACTGGCCTTTGCTCCTTTGACAAGGACATCACTCTTGGCTAAACGTTTGAGGCTGAGATATTGGCGTTTGGCTTACATCTTTTGATTTCAGCTGCAAGTTCTGGTTCTCTGTATTTTGTTGGTACTCCTTAGATGATTATTGAGAATTGTGAAGGTTTTGTGTGTATAGTATTTGTTTGTGTGGTGTTAGTTATCTTTGTTTCTTGGATGCTACTAAAATGAAGTCACTTGTATCTTCATTTGCTTCCAGACTTTCTTGTGGGTGTAGTTGCTTATCTTCGTCTGTTTATTTTTGTTTCAGTTGTTGTGCTTGTGTGTTCTCGTGTGTTTCTTTATGTTGTGCAATTGTGGGGCATATTTATGCACTGGACTGAAGAGTAGTCTTGTAGTTGGATTTGGTAAAGACTAGTTAATTGGATAGTTAGATGATTCAATGAGTGAAAGCAAAATGTTGTTATGGTCAAATTGGACCTTTCTTACTAGTGGAGTATCTCAGGGATCAATTTTTAGGTGTTTAATTTTTATTATTTACATTAATGGTATTAATTAAGCATAATTTAATAAATTAGTAAAGTTTGCTGATGTGATATATTTCGGATAACTAGCAGAGCAGAGGAGTTAGGCTCGCTAACAACTAGAGGTTTTCGTATCTCGTGCTTGGTTATAGATTTCCCGACGAACTATCATAAAGTTAAATCATAAGCCAAAGGTTCAAAAGTTTTTGAAATTAACAGCTGTTTACATGAGAAAAATGGCTGAAAAACTAGATTCACAATCCCATTCAAACACATACCTATCAAGACCCTAGATGCAGCTCCAAGGAATTGTGACTTTTGTCTGTTTAAACATGGTCTTGGAATATGACGTCCAGTACAATATACAGTCTGTGGAAAGTTTATTAAGATGTTTGGCTTAAAATTACCCTTGCGGTCTTTTGGACAAACTTGTTACAATGGAAGTTGCAATGTCAAGCAATATTGCTTATTTGTTCTCATCTGACTGAGCACAATTGACAATGAAGGAAATATTCAGGAAGGTTTTTACTATTGAGCATCTTGCCTTAAACCTCTATTGGATGTATTATGAAAATACAGTGGAAAATGTTTTGTTTAAATTTCCTACTTAAGTAGGTCTGTATTGCACAAAAAATGTTTATTGAAATACATTTTGGTAAGTTATAAATGGGTACTTTACCTGGAAGTAACATTATTCAATTGAGGAACCAATAAGTATAATTCATTGTATATTTCAACTGTTACCTGTAGGCAAAAGCATGCAACTACAGAAGTGAATCATGTGTATATGTATTAAACAACAAACACACATTTGTTACCTGTATATTACAATAGAGAGTTAAATGTTATGTTTTTATGAAATTATTGTATTCCTGCTCCAGGTCAGCAAGAATTCAATCCATTCTAGCTCTTCTCTCTCTGTCAGTCAAAATGAATCACTCTGTATTTTTATAGTCTATGGTATGTTCCGAATCTATTGTGTGTTATGTCATGGTTGATGTATTTGTTTTCATTAGTCTAAAAGCGTCTTTATGTCCTTTGAAACATTGTCCCAAATGCCTCTTCTATGGATCTTTATCCACAAATGCACCGTATTCCGTCAATTACGACTTAAAGCACAGTTGTAGGGTTTGCTTGTTACTCATATTTCAAACTAATCACCAATAGCTGTTATTGTACATTTCTAACCATTCTTCTGATAGAAGTTTCTACATAATTTTTAATTAGTCTGTTGGTTGTTTTACGTTGGTTAGGATACTGCAGAAGATTTGGATTGATTTGAAACAAGTTTGAATTTTGTGCTTTTTTGCAGGTCTTCTGAATACTGTAACAGACTTTTGATATGAAATGGAGAGTGATGTTGCAATACTGTTTTAATGGCAATTTATTGGTTGTCCTGTTGTTCCGAGTAATATATTTCATCCTTTTATAACTAACTTAGAATATATCTTTAGTCAGTTATATTCAGATCTATGATATTCTTGTTACCTGAATTTCGAAAGGTCATGAACATGAACTATTCATTTTACTCAGGTAGATTTGCATGTGGAAGACTTAACACATGAAAAAAAAAGTAAAAAGCCATGTCAATCTCATATAATATTATCTATATACTACTTAAACTCTGAGAATGTTTGCTTGTCT